GTCAGTTGTCCACTTCCTTCTTCAGCCTTGTATTTTAGCCCCTCTTGACCTGAAATTGAGACATCATGACAGGGTCTTGGGTCCAGTTCCTAGGAACTGATTCAGGAAACTCAAATAACTTTAAAGGTTTAAATTAGATGTACCTTTGGTTAAGTTCCTCTGTCTTCTGCTTTATACATTTTGGAATAGGAAGAGACAGAGTGAACATGGTTAGTGCATGGCTCTCAGAGAGGCACGATTTAATTTGAATCCAGTTTGCTCGAATTATTCTCTGTGTAGCAAATGGCAATACCTATGATCCTTCACCTTCTCATCTGAGTTGATCCATAGTCAATAATGATCTGCATTTCTGTGAGCATGGAGTGGATAATAGACATCATGTATGTCATTAAATATGGTGATGGGTGTGATTAAATATGTGACATGAAGGCAAAGGCAGTTTTATATATTACAAGATGCAAATGTTTAATTTTCTCTGCATCTGAAAGAGCATTTTGTTTCCATTCTTGTGTAAATAGATATTGAATGTGATGAAGGAAATAACTTGAGTCTCATGACTTTCTGATTCCTCAGACCCTAGCACATGTTGCCACAGATTATGCTGCAACATAATGACATCAACAAATCTGTGTTAAATATGAAATAGCCCGTTTGTTCCTTTATTCCTTGGTTCATAGGAACACAGCATAGATTTTATGGCTTCCACATTCTGAGTACTATCCTTTCTGTGTTTCCATTCCTAGTGCCTAAAGCACTTGACTGCTAAGCAGAAGGCTGGAGGTTCAAACCCACCAGCCACTCCTTGGAGGGAAGGTTGGGCAATCTACTTCTGTAGCGATATTGCCTCAGAAACCCAAGGAGGGGTCACTATGAGTCGGGTCTGACTCGACGACACATAAAAACAACAACAACAGTATGTCTCATAGGACTAGAGATAAGATAAAATAGGTCTTGAATGTGTCCATATTGTGAATTTTCTGTTGGCCTTATTACTGTCCATTTAATAAAATATAGACTGTTAAAATGTTTATTGAAAATTATGGAGAGTTTCATAAAAATTAAAACAGAAAGGAAGAGCAGGGGAAAGTCAAGGTTAAGTGTGTGCCTTAATACAATTTAAGTTGTTAACATGTTATATGCTCAACTTCGTGGGACATGATGAGCTTCTACTACTCACATGTAAAGGAATTGAAGGACATTAAATATTTTGTGGAATTGTATTCCATCCATAAACACGTGATTCCCTAAATAATTCAAATTCCTATTTTTTTTAAATGACCAAATATTTACTGAGGTTGAAGTCTTCATTACCTGTCACACATATCCTAGAGACAGGTGTCATTCTCCCAATTTCCTGCTGAAAATCACCAACTCCTAGAGGTTGAGAGGTGAACATGGCCTCCAAATGTAATGTCTGAAAAGACGTGGAGTCTGACCTCCTCCTGCTCCTGTCTGCTCTGTCTCCTCCGTCGGAGCTGCAGCCGAGTGGTCGCGCTTCTTCTCAAACCTGCTTTGGTTCCAGAGGAGGAAACGAAGCAGAAGCACCAGGGCTACCACTTAGAACGTGAAGCGTTGGTCTGTGAATTAAGGGACTGGGTCACATGGCTTCCAGGGGACTTCATAGCATGAATCTTGTGCGCTGTAGGGTTTTCTATGAATAGCAATATATTTGCTAGCTTACTTTGGAAATCTGAGGTAATGGAACATTGTTTCCTGTATAATGGGGAGTTCTATGTGGATCTGTGATGGAAGGACTATTATCATACATCTCTCATGAATATTTGTGATTCCGTACCTTCACAGTAAGAGCATGTAGTTGTGTCTAAATTTCTCTTTGTTTGAAAACAAGTGTTAACAATTAATAGAAAATTTGAGCATCCATTTATTTTTACACCTCAGAAAACTATGTTCCATGTATATATAATATAGGAATTCTCAACTGTGTAAGGCTGGCACAGGGACCGTCATTGTGTCTTTCTGCTGTGCATACGGTCTCTGTGAGTCAGAGATGACTCGACGGCACTTAACAGCAACTTTGTAATGTGAAGAGTAGCTCCCAAATTTACATAGATTTGTTGTTATAAGAAATTGAGAAATAAAAGAGTCCCTTTCTCAGTGATACAATGCATCATTTAAAGTGTTTGAAACAGGGGTGTGTATTCCACAGAGTCAGGTAAAAGACAGTGTTGCAGGAAACGAGAACTTTTGAGGGATGGTATGAGTAGCAAGATACTACTTAAGTACATTTTCAAGAGAAATGTTTCTGGATACATATACCAGTATTAATCTTATGAAAACTTTTTGGGAAAAATATACCCACAAATTCATGAGATAGTCTACCTTTTTGGAATAAGTGTACTGAGGAATGGGATGATGTGGGGATGGCAAGAAAACTCAAGCTACATTGGTAATATTTTAAAATTTTATAAAACCTGAGGATAAAACAAATGATTTTGAGTATGTGTGTTTTAATATGGAATTACATGTTAATGATAATGAAGGAGGTATTGTTATTGAAGCACTTACTTAGTCCCTTGCAATAATCTAAAGCGATGGTTCCCAGCCCTGGCTAACCAAGGAACTCCATGTGGAGTGTCTGATTTAACTGGCTCTTGCTATGGCCAGTGCATCAGTAAGCATTTTAAAATCCATAGAAAATTGTAATGATGAATTAGCACTGAAGACCACCCGTCTTAGCACTCTACGTATAATATTATTTTAATTCTAAATCTTAGATTCAATTACTAGTTATCTTTTACCGGACGTGCAAACTACACAGATATTTGTCATATTATTCTCTGTTGTTTTCACTTATGCATTTTCACAAATTAAATCATCTTGAACCTATGGAAACAAAAGAGGAAATGAGTTGCTTCAAGGACCTGAAATTAGGAGAATTCCAATCCCCTGATAGGAAAGGTGGATTTGAAAAACTTGTAAGTAGTAGGCATACGTTGGCTTGGTTTCAAACCCGGCTTTGACAACTCCCAAAGAGAAAGCCATATCCATTGCTGGCAAGTATTCTGGCTTATAGTGATCCCATGGGACAGAGTAGAACTTCCCCACTAGTGTTTGCATGTTTTCAAGGCTGTCATCTTTACCGGAGCAGTGTGCCACATTTTTCTCCAGGGGATCGGCTGGTGGGTTCAAACTACCAAAGTTTTTTAGCAAGCTCTTTAAGCAGTAAAGCACCAGAGCTCCTTGACCAGTAGACACCGAGTTGACGAAGACTCACAGCCCCATCCATGTCAGAGCAGCACTGCGGTCCACAGAGCTTCCATTGCCGTGGCCTCTCTGAAGCAGGGCACCAGGACTTCTGTCCAAGGTGCTTCTCGGCAGACTGCACTGCCAAGCGCTGAACGCTTTGCACCATCCGGGGACTCCCACTGGCACTTCGTTGGCCCTAAATTCTTGACTATAAGCAAGAGGGTTGGTTCAATAAAAGAAAAAGTCTTCACTAAAATTCAGAATTAGAAACACACTTAACCACTGTTACCAAACAACCAGAGAATGGAAATAAAACAAGGCAACACTGAATTCAACCTCAGACATTTCCGTGGATGGTGTGGTGTTGATGCAAAAAGCAGGGCAGACAAAAGAAAAGCAAGGACAGATTGCTTCTTAAGAGTAAATTATTGCTTCATCATTGGTTCTTTTGGTACTAATGCCATCTTTGAAATCATCAGTGTTGTATGATATTATACACTTATGAATGTACTTGTAACATTTTTATAGTCACCAAAGTCAAGGGTTTGGATTAATATTTGAAAATATTTTTAAAAGATGACTAATCTATTTCAATGGAGGATGGCTAACAGAAAAGCAAAGAACGATGAGAACCCATAAAAACAATTGACATATGCAATGCTCTCTGATTACAAACATTTCACTTTAATTTAGAGTCCAACTAGTGTGCTTCTAGGAGCCCTGGTTTTTAGTGGTTAAAGTGCTCCTTTGCTCATGAAATCTCAGCTGCGCTTCAAGGGAAATATGCGTCATTCTGCTTCCAGAATGAGTTACAGCCTTGGGAACCCTGTGGGGCAGCTCTGCTTTGTCTCACAGGGTCACTATAAGTTACACTCAACTTGACATCAATGTGGTTCCATCACTTG